TAGGACTTATGAGTCCTTAACACTCACAAACCGGTGGAGTACCCAAGGATTATGATCCTCAAAACTCATAGATTATGATATTGAAATAGGGACAAGGAGGAGTCCTATACACTCATAGGTATATGGGTGGGTTGGGGTTTTTAGTCAAGAATATTGACTATTACTATTTTTCCCGAATAAAACGGTGATCCACGGATCAGATATTTTCCAAATATATATATACTAATAAGTATTTCATAACTTGGGGGGAAAAACTATTTCTTTAAGTATCACCCTATGTTTGGGTCTTATACTTGAAACGCTAGTTATTCTATATTTAGCCTGCTACTCGCTCAGTACTTGTACTGACCCCTTCGGGGGGCCCACCATTTTCAGGTTGAAGCTAGGGCTTGCTACTTGCACCTTCTCACGGGTGATATCATATCAGGAAGACGTGGTTCGTGCTTCCTTATTTTCTTTCAAACTACCGAACACTTGCTCATGGATATTTGTTTTACTATAAACTATTTTTGTGGCTTGCATGCCCATGTTGTTGGCCGGTTGTGGCTCATCATGACTTACCGTTGAATATTTCCGCTATTCATTGGTTTAAATGTGATGTTGTTATGTATGTTTACTACTGAGTATGAATGGATTATTTCTCGAATGCCTTGTGTAATTAAGTGAGGTTGACTCGCGGGTGACGTCACTTGATTATACGGCGGTTGTACACGCGCTTGGATTGCGGTTTGGGGCGTGACAAAAACATTCTCTCTCTTTTCTATTCATTGAATTTATAACTCCATACGTTCAGATGAGAAGGGGAAACTTCCCAGACAGCAGCAAGATATAAAATTAGTTTAAACAAATAGAATATTTATATGCTTTCTATATGTTTATTTATAAAGATTGACATTCAAATCCTTTGTAGTTGGGTTTTGCCATTTCTTCCCTAGCATTTAATTGGTTCCAACTTCCATGGACCCTTAAACTTTTTTTTATGTATTTACATGATCCCACTCATGGATCAATGTTATTTTTTTTTTGTCCAGGTTTGATAATCTTCGGGTTCCCAGGGAAATTTTGCTGAATTTAGTTGCAAATGTTACTTCTGATGGGGATTATGTGTCTGCAATCAAGGACCCTGATCAAGTAACTTCAATGCTTCTAAGCATCAATGCTAAAAGTCTAAAACTATTTGTATTTTTTCAATTATTTTTCTTCCCAGTACTTTGTCAAGATTGTGTTATCAGGAGGCCTTCCTAATATGATTTGTGGTTTAGTATTTAAGTGGGGGAAAACAAACAAAGAAATGGCATCATTATCATATGATCAAGTCCCTATTTTGTGATTGCCTTCCTTTACTTTATAGTTTCAACTTGAGTGAATAATAGATTAAATTATACTTCAGCGCGTTGGAGCATTGATCGCTCCTTTGACCACTGGACGTGTAACCATACCGTCAATTGTAACTTGTGCTGCAAGGGTGAACATTTTTCTATTTTCTCATATTTTTGTACATTGAGATAGTGGAGGTGAGAAAATGTTATAAGACACCATGTCTTTACTGTATTAGGTGGGAATAGCAACTGCAATAAGATTTATTTCTTTGACTTTCACTAGTATATAACAGACATACTCTGTTAACGAGTGGTTATTTCTTCTTCCAGTACTAAAAGGAAAGCAGGATCAAAAGACATAATTTGAGGCTTTCAACTTCACTAGAGCTGGTGGAGTCGCCCTTTTCATGTATAGCACTAATGGGGTTTGTTTATAGGCCTCTCTGTTTTCTTTCTTGCTTGTTTTTAAGTGATTCAATTCCTATAGGATCCGATGTGGCATTTTATATGTATTTGAATTTGAACTAGTAAGACACTGTTATGTTTATACTTCAATACTTCATAGTCTATTCATGCTTTTGCTGATGCTTTAATTAACATGAGATATGAAAAGAAATTGCCTCTAAATCTCTGTACCTAGAATACTGCTCTTAAGAAATACCTCGTAAGATGGAAGGCACTTCTCTTAAGAATTTATAGGTTGGCTGAGTTCTTATTATTGTTTAGTTTACTTGTTACTCTATATCTCTGTACAAAGAATATTGCTCTTAAGAAATACTCTGTATGATGGAAGCTTCAAAGATACTTCAAAGAAGTCTTACATCTCAATGGAAATCAAAATTTGGAGGGGGCTTGAATTTGGTGAGAATATTACTTCCACATGCATGCCCATTTTATGTTGCTTTCTTTCATATTCCCTTTTAAGAAAATAATTGCGCAGTGTGTATCCCCCCACTCTAAATAATTCTCAACCACAAAATTTCAATTTGTTAATGATCAAAAGTAAAACTTATCTCTAAATATTTTACTACTTTTGAGCCTGTAGTATTGGTCTTGCTTTCTTATGAAGTGATGGTGTTTTCAGTGATTAAAAATATATGTTATTGTAGTTTCTTTTCTTTGGTAGCGGTCTTTTCACACTCTAAATTCATTTTTATTATTAGCAACTCTAGTCATGCCAAAATACTACTCTGAGAAAAGGCAAGGAATTTCACTTTTGTGTCCATTTAGTTTTAGTGTACTATGCGGTATCCACGTTCTACTTTTATTTGAGTATATGCTTTTGAAATTTATGCTAATATTTTTATGCTTATACGTAATACGTAATAGTATTTAGGCTAACAGTGCGCCTATTTTAAGCAATTGGATGTAATATGTTCTTTTCCTTTTTCCCAAGCATTTTCATGTTCAAAATGGACTCTCACTCTAATATATAGCCCCTGTTTGAGATCAAATATTATACTATGGGAACTAACAAGCAAAAAATGTGGATGTGCATGACATTTGAATTGTAAATGATAATTCTTTTTATTTTCAATAAAACGCCTTTTGATTTTCATACATTGTCATTTTTATTTTTCAAGTAATAATCTTATATTTCGTGTGTGTGTGTATATATATAAACATTTATATATAATTAACATTATGTGATACCAATGTATCACAAATTTAATTGATACTAATGTGTCAAAATTTAAAGTGATATTATTGTATCAGAATTTTTTGTGATACATTAGTGTCAGAAATTAGTGTCATTTTACCAGTGACACTAAATTTAGTGTCATAATTCCCGACCTTCTATGACACTTTTCTAGTGTCAAAAAAACTTTCTGTGACACTTATTTAGTATCACTATAGACCATTTTTCTAGTAGTGGCTGCTCGCACCCATCTCTAAGTGTCGTAATATTGCGCATCGTTGCCATCCTCCAGGCTCCAAGTGTGTGCCACAACAATCCTCCTAGCAAGTCCACCGCCTTCGCCACCCTTCGCTGAGTTCGCCGCCGCCATCCTCCGAGGAAGGACCGTTCTCCAGCAAGTCCCTGTAACCTCTATCGAGAATGCCACTTGAAATATATAATGACACAATAATGACAATTTCTTATAGAAACATGACATTCTCAATATGGCATTTCCAAATACTGTAATGACATAAAAGTGACATTTTTTAAAATAACCAATATGTAAGACATTCTCTTATTCAAAAAGTGACATTTTGTTGAGAATCATAGTGAGGGCATTTTGAGATTCAAATTAATTAAAATTGATAAGAAGAAATTCAAGTTCAGATATATCTTCATTTGAAACTTTCAAATTCAAATTTTTATTTAAGAGTTGATTGATAAAAATTTTAAAAAAAGAAGAAGCAAAGAACCAGTAATAGAGCTACAAGAAGAAGAGGAAGATGAAGAGGAAGAGGCAGAGGAAGAGAAAGAGCAGATGACTACGTTCAATTGCGATGAGCATGTGGTCGACGGAGGAGAAGTTGCGGCCGACCAATGGGAGAGTCACAAGGGAGAAGTATAGCGGTCGAGGAGAGAGAAGGTTGTGATCCAAATTGGGGAAGAATTGAAGGGAAGACTCGGATTGACTATTTTTAGGGAGAAGGGTACGTAATAAAATAATCTGGGATCTTATTTGGGAAATATAAAACTTGTAGTCCTCCTTTGGAATTTTAACCATATTTTAGTCCCATTTAGAACAATTCCTATAATAAGATTCATGACAAAATCCCAAAAAAGTGTATAAATTTTGTGTACAAATATCATTTTTCAAAGTCCCGTTTTAATCACATTCTCTATATATCTTTTACTCATATTTGATGGATTATCTCTGTATAATATCTTGGAATCACACAATAAGGATGTTTTATTTTGAATTGTTTTCAACCTCATACCAGATCAGACCAGACCAGATCAGACCAGATTTCCGTAGTTATAAAATACACAGAGACCAGACGTTTACCAGACCAGACCAAACCAGTTCAGACCAGACCAGCAAATTTGAGTCCAAAAGAAAACATCTAAATAATTCCCGACATTGCTAGATTGCCTATATGCATTGAAATGGCCAATTCATCATACAAAAAACTATTTGTACCCACCACATCTGTGAGGAGTTTTTTTTTGTCTGTGAATCCCGGTCATACACAAAAATATGTCTATGCAGACATGATGGGTAGAAAAGTGGGTATAATAGTGGGTACAAGAAGAAGCTCTCAATGCTGACCGATTTACACTTACAAGTTGACTAATTCAAAATCACATTTTCTTTTACTTTTGACTAAATCAACGTACAACTTTTCTATAGCATTGTATAATGCTTTACAAAATCAAGCTTTACCGTATAAACTAAAAAATTGCAAATAACATTAACTCCAAAAATTTAATGTTTAGAACATTAATTTATATGCTAAAAGTTAACCATCTTCGCCCAAAAATTAAATATTCGAAACTTAAAAAAAATACAACAGGTGAGTATATAAGTACGTAATTCTTAGCTTGACTTTAGGAAAAAAACGACCTCTATATGTCCAAACTAGGGTTGCATATAAACACTTATACTGACATTTAAATATTTTTAATAGTTAATTAATTGGAAATGTGAAAGTTGTCCTCCAAATCCAGATTGCAAGCTGTGATTAAGTGTGTTACATAGTTTGACTGAGGCCAGCAAATTTTCACACACGCACACACACATATACATACCCCGCCCGGCATAATTCTATTTTAACAATCAATTCAATCCAACAAAATGCATCCACCACCCTGCGGCTGGACTACCATTATACTAGCGGTTGGTTCTTTGGTATTCTGTGGTCTTGCAGTTCTTGCTGGGGTTGTTGGGCAAAGGCAGGTATACATTTATCTCGGATATGTTTAATTTAATTTGTAATGTTAATCTGTTGGATGAAGGCATGGGCCGGAACAATGTGATTAGCTAGAGCGGCTTGTTCTTCGTCTGATATCCGATTTTGGTGGTCTGTTCCACCTGATCGACTACATTGTTGATGTTTTAAACTTTGATTGTATTAATTGCAATTATTCCTTTTCCTCAACAAAAAAATTAAAACTAATTAGTTAATTAAAGGAATTAATTGCAATCGGTTCCTTTTATTTAATTTGAAACCTCCTTAATTAATTAGCTTCACATGTTCATTAGTCACAAATTATTTGTTGATCGAATTAATATACAGGCGAGAGCTAATAAGGGAGTTAATGGATCTGCTTTGGAGGCATTAATCTTCCTTGTTGCATCCGGTGGGTTTAACTTGGGACTACATTGTCACGTTCGGCACAAAAATAAACATGGTGAAGATGGCACTTCTGATCAACGACTCTTACAGTGCACTAAAAATTATCTATGTGTGCTGACTGTGATCACAGGGTAACCACTAATTCTTTTTCTTCACCCCGCGTGCATGAGATAACCACTAAATGGAAACATAGTGAGAAACGTGTTTAGGAATTTCTAATTGGACATAAATTTTCCAATCTAGTATGGTCTGGATTGTCTGGTGCTCGACCAATATGCTTATTCGAACAATCTGTTTTTGTGCTTCCATTACACACTTTTTCATCAAGAATATGATCACTAGGCTAGAGTAAGTTTGTGAATTGGCATTGTTAAGTTAGGGATGTTTTTAGTTATAATGGACTGAAAATTAATGGTTTAATCTAGTCTGATTATGTACATGTATTTTATGTACATGTATTTTACAGGTCGTTTGGTAACATAGAAATTGGTTGAATCAGCTGATTCTGCTGAAATTAATGAAATTCTAACTAGAGTGGCTAAATTGTCCGAATGGGCTGAATTGGCTGAATTATGAAAAATTATATACCATGTATTTTAATACAGAGTAATAAAATAAAGAAAAAATTATATGTAAAATAGTTAAAATGGTCATCGATAATAACTTTAGTCATTTCAGGCAAAAAAGTAACTTCAACCTTATTTTTTTGGATTATTACATACTACGTAGTTTGTGTTTATTGAAATGGTTGACTGATAAGAGAAGGTCACCAAACATGCTATTAGTATTGTCTAAGTTTGTTTTGGTGTTAAAATCAGTGTAATTACAAATAGGGTGCTTCTACCGTACCTTTATTAATATAGAAGTGTACCGGTACATTTGCCTAGATAACAAATAAACGGAGGACACGTGTAAATTTTAACTGCACTAAAATCATCAGATTTGAGTCCTTTTGCAAAAAGCTCTGATTTTTTTCGGTGCATGTGCATCATCGGCCTTCCACAGTTCCGGCGGTTTGAGTAGCTGCACAGGTCATGCCTCCTCCATATTTGCTCGATGAACAATGATTCAGAAGACAGACAATGACTTGTTGGCGTAGCATTGCACTCCTATTTTCAAGGAGAGAATCCAAGGCGGCCTGTATTGTCAAAGACGGAAGTTCCTCATCAAAAACTCCTTCATCAGCGACCAAAGGTGGTCTGTGAAAAATGGGTTTCTCTTATTGTGCGCAGGGCCGCAGGCGACGCTCCGGGCGTCTAGCAACATTTTTCAGCAAACACCTACAGGTCCAGGCCGTCGGACAACGAAAATCATCCCGATAACCGCCTCTTTATCCCTTCCTCAGCTCCCTCTCTAGGCGCTTCTTCCTCGCCGCGTCGGCGGGTTTAGTCCCTCTGATCTGCAACCTTTCATGGCTCGGGGTGTAACTTGTCGGCATGCCATAATATAGAATTATATAATCCGCAGATTACTTGCTATATTATACTCCGTATTAGAGCATCTCCAATAGGGATGTGGATTGGATCCAACAAAAAATGGATACGTCATCTCTATCGATGTCCTGTGAAGCTGATCTGGAGGCACGAGCAGTTATAATCCCATTTCATCTCCAACGGAGCCATCTGCAAAAACACCTCAACAACACCTGGAAGACTCCGCTCTTGACCAACTCACTCAAAGCGAAGACAAAATGCACAAAAGCTACATCGATTTTGAAATCCAGATTAACATAGAAGCATAAATCAATTCTATTCCATACGATGTCTTTAATTATTGCTTGCCTCTAGAGAGCACAAACCACATCCATGGCGGTCAAAATCTTCCTCCTAGCATGCTGTGTAACCGCAACACGGATAATATTTTGGAGGAATATCTTTAGCACACCTCTGATTTCTCCATACATCAAACTATGTTTTTCGATTGCTTGAAAACAAAATCAGCCGGAGAAGAAGATCGGCAGGAAAGAAGATCGCCAGAAATGGGGGGGGGGGGGGGGAGGGGGCTGGCAGCTGCTTCCACCTACAGGAGGAGTGCCGACGGCCTTCCATATCATAGGGGGCTGCTGGAACGTTGGTTATCTGGTTCGGTTACTATTGCAGTCGGGTGCTGTGTTGCCGCCTTGCCAGTATGGAAGAAGTTAGCATTATTATAAATGTTTCAGCCGCATAATTACTTCGTATTTTACAATAAATGTTTTGCTGAGGTGGCTGTTAGAAATCCCTGCTGAAAATAGAAGGGAAGGTAGATGGAGTCGGTTCTTTTCCATTCCAACTCAGCACAACATCCGAAATCCATATTTCCATTGCAGAGCATGATTTTACCCCAATCTTATGTGGCAATGCATTTATAGGCAATCCATATTGCCACTAAAGATGCTCTTAGTATAGGAGATTAGGAGGGTGATGATGTGGCACCATAATAAAATTTCATTGGCTTATAAAAACTTCATTGGCTTATAAAACTTGGGTACGGGTGCCTCAAATTAAGAAAGGTACGGTAGAATTTTCCTTACAAATATGGTAAACAGGAAAAATATCTAGCTATGACGAAATGAAAATAAAAAGTTGTTTAAAATTGTTAGGTTGCATTTAAATTTCTCATTGTTAAAGTACATATGTATGATGAAAAAAAATTTGTTAAAGTACATATGTGTGTGCAGGCTCGCATTTGTGATGGGAGTGTTATGTTTTGGGTACGTACGACTTAAATCAAGTGGAATGTCTGATAACAAAAAGGCTAACTTCCTAATCGCCGGAACTTGCGGTTCCATTTTTCAAGCGCTTCTTTTCGTAAGTCATTGTTTTCAATGCAAACGCCGCGAAAGCCCAGGCACCGACGGATTTGGGCAGCCCATGTGGAGTCGTAATGTTGGTTGACATGGCCAAAAAAGAACAAAGGAGATCGGTAAAATCCCTAAGAATACGCAAGTGATCTGAGATGTTTGTTTAGTGGTGTATTTCTACTTGTATTCGATTTTAACACAATTTTCTTATCTATTCTTAATTAATACGCACCCGCATGATGTTCAATACTTCAATTAGTTTTCCACCAATTATCTAATTTAGATTAATACGTTGTATCACTTGTTATACAAACTCCAATGTGAATGATAGCTAGGTCTGGTTGTGGCCATTCTATTTTGCATCTCATTTCATTTGGTGGCGGATCCAGGAATAAAAGGTATTGGCGGCAGAATAATAAATGAAGTACATTTATGGAAAAAACATCTCTGAAAAAAGCTTTAATTAAGTATATTAGACTAAATAGCAAAAGTGTTTTATTTTTTACTTTTTTGGTTGTGCTTTCTAACTATTATTATATATTCTCTCAAAAAACTACTTCATATTATAATATTTGTTCTATGTTAAAGTTTTTTCTATAGTACACAAGAATTAGTTCAAACTAAATAAAGCATATAACAATATCAAAAACTCGTACTCCGTAATAAAGTTTATCACAATTGCTCTTCTTGGGTTTTCATCTTTTGAAAGTGGTCCTTTTTTTACTCCGAGGGGGTCCGGGGGAGGGGGTTGGGGGGAGCCTGGAATAATCAGGGTTGAAACTCACTTCATTGAGTTTTGAACCCTTATGTGCGTGCCTAGCGGGTTTTGAACTCGAGACCTCTCACTAGACACGGTAAACTCACAACTAGCTTGTAACACTTGAGATTTAATATAAACGGATTAATAGTACTACTCATACCAAACAAGGTGCATCTCCTTTTAAGGGAGCTCATTAGCCAAGAACTCCAAAGTTAAGCGTGCTTGCACGGGAGTAGTCTTGGGATGGGTGACCCCCTGGGAAGTTTCTCAGGGCGCGCATGAGTGAGGACAAAGTGCGCGGTAAAGGCTCGTGGTGGTTTGTGGGGACAGTACTAGAGGTCTGAAGTAACTACCTCGGGTCCCACGGGGCCGGGGTGTTACAGGTGGTATCAGAGCAACCCCGCGACAGTGTGATGACCCGTTGGATATCGGGCGGGCACTTAGCGGGGGAAGATTCTGGGATTTGATTGAGATTTGAGATTGGTTCAAGGGCGCAACGAGGACGTTGCGATCCTAAGTGGGGGTGATTGTAACACTTGAGATTTAATATAAACGGATTAATAGTACTACTCATACCAAACAAGGTGCATCTCCTTTTAAGGGAGCTCATTAGCCAAGAACTCCAAAGTTAAGCGTGCTTGCACGGGAGTAGTCTTGGGATGGGTGACCCCCTGGGAAGTTTCTCAGGGCGCGCATGAGTGAGGACAAAGTGCGCGGTAAAGGCTCGTGGTGGTTTGTGGGGACAGTACTAGAGGTCTGAAGTAACTACCTCGGGTCCCACGGGGCCGGGGTGTTACATAGCTAGGCTGGAATGTTTGGTTGAAAGTGATCTATTATTACAGTTGCAATATAATTGTGAATTGTGACTATGAAATAAACCTCCTTCCATAAACAAACTAGATAGTAACTAAAAAACACTTTATTCATCGATTCTATTACTCAAATTAGTTATCAAAAGAGTAAATGGTCAGTTTGGTCCTCGAAGTTGCAAAAAAGGGGTCAAATAAGTCCTTATATAGAAGATTCTGTCCGGACGTCCCATTTGAGGTGGTTCCTGGTAGAATTTTTTAATGATTTTTTTTGAGAATCTTATTCATTAAGTCTAGTTTACTCATACTAAATTTCAGCTAAAAATTCAATCGGGGAGACATTCAAATGAATTCTTGAAGATAAGTGCGCTTTTAACGGCACAGTTATCTTCAAGAATTCATTTGAATGTCTTCCCGATTGAATTTTTATCTGAAATTCGGTATGAGTAAACTAGACTTAATGAATAAGATGCTCAAAAAAATTAATCAAAAGTTACACCGGGAGCCACCTCAAATGGCACGTCCGGACAGAATCTTCTATATAAGGACTTATTTGACATCTTTTTTGCAACTTCGAGGACCAAACTGACCCTTATCCCGTTATCATCAAAATTAACTTATCATCAAGGCATTAAAGTACTACAAGTCTTTAAGACAGATTTATATTCGAACTACCAGTGGCGATAAAAGTGTATTATTTAACATTCTATTCATTAAGACTAATAAAAAATGAAAAATTGATGTTTTTTTATTTTTTGATAACTATGTCACTATTTATAAATCTTAAATATTCTATTGGCTCTACCAAATAACCAGTAGTTAGTTAATGCAATTCTGGTTTTGATTTTTGGAGACTAGATAAATAATATTCTAACGTAAATGTGTTAATTGCGTTATTATATAGTTTAATTTACAATAGGATAAAAGATTTATTTACCTTATATAGTTAATTTTAAATAATGATGAGTTAGGCATCCACACATATGATCTTCCTGCAATCGTCAATCCATCCACGTTGTAGTCCCTCATAACACATGAAAAGCCTTTGAAAAACTGGAGAGGAAAGTTGTTGGCTACCATCTGTCACCAATTGTATTTCAGTCCCCATGCTAGACTTCTTCAAAGCCTCCAAATACCTACCCAATTTTTGGTAATGTTCATGCATTGATCCATGAAGCATTTTATGAGAGTTGAACTTCACTTTGTATGCAAATGCCCTACTAATTACAACCTTGTAAGTTCTTTTAACAGTTTCCATTATCTCTTTTGCAGGTCAATGGGGTCTTGCTTCAAACACTTCAAGAAACTCCCTCGCCACCCATGGACACTTGAGTTGTTTATTTTTTTTCATATTTCTACGACATGTGTGCTTCCCTTTAAGTGAAGCACACATGTGGCTTGTCTAGATTCCCAAGAGCAATACAACTTAAAAGGACACCCTTATGCACATTTCACCCCCAATCTATGGCCCCTTTTGTTGTACTCACAGCAATACTCAGATTTCGACCTTGTAATATAGCGTACTTGGCAACAACATTCTTAAAATCAGCCCTAGTGGCAAATCTCTGCCCCAATTCCCATTTAAACTTAGCAAAATCAGTTTCAGAAGTCACAAGTTCTAAAGTTTTCTTCTTTATCTTCGTACTTTCAGCCAAGTTTTCTTCTTCACTAACTGCTGGAGTGTCAATATCTCTATTCTAAAAATCGTTCTAGGCGCCCGACTAGTCCCCGCCTAGGCGCTAGGCGGTGGTCGGGTGCCCCGATTTTCGTCTAGGCACTCCGATTAATTGGTTTTCCGTCTAGGTGAATTAGTCGGAACTGGGAACCTAGGCACCTAGGCACTAGGCGCTGGGCTGGCGCCCGACTAGCGCCTTTTAAAACATTGGTCAATATCCTCATCACTTTCCTCGTACTCACTGAAAAATCCATCTTCTTTTTCACAGTTCATGTCTTCTCCAGGTTTCTTTTGCCCTTGGAGCTTACCTTCTTCTGCTTCTTTTTTAAGCTGTTTTGAAAGTTCTACTAATTTATTCTTGCATTCTTTCACTCTATTCTTTGCAATTTTGTACTCATCATCACTGACTTCTGAGTCATTTTCACTCAAGTCTTCATCCTCTGTGTCCCCCGAGTCCCCATCATCCTGTTCTTCAGCCTCTTCTTCTACTTCAGGATCACCTTGTGTTTCATCTTCATCACAAAACTGGGTTAACTTCATGATTTACACCTCCTCGGGTTGCATTGGATGCTCCAGTAGTTGGTCCACCTTTCCCACCACAAAAATGCAGTTCATCAAACTGGATTGTGGCAGGTTTAACCCAAAATCTCATTGTACTTCAAAACCATAACAGATATTTGTATGACTTTGGCATTTCATCAAACACATGATGGATAAAAAATAGCATACAAGTAATAAGAGAAGGTGTTGATGAAATAAGTTGCATACAAGCACATATGGAATACAAGCACAATCTGCAAGTTATTCATTCCAGGTAATGAGCAACACATATGGTTTTTTTATGCGTGCAATTACTTACAAACACATATAAACAATGAAGACCATTCTCAGTATACAATTAAAATTTCGCATAGAAGCACATCTGAAAAATGAAATTAAGAGCATGTGTGAATAAATTGCAGACCATTCTCGTTTATAATGAATTAAATGAAATTACTAGGAATGAAAGTCATCTACTATCTCCGGCATCAACTATGCGTTCCTCTGTTGCCAAGCTCCATACTCGTTCTCTTCTGAAACAACACAGTCTGGTCGTTTTTTTAATTGGGTTTAATTTGGTCAAAAACGGGTTTCACTAAAACTAGGTTTAATTGGGTCGGGTCAAAACTGAGACGAGTAAATTCTAATTTCCCACTCAAATTGGCCGTTATTTTAAAAAAATGATTGCCTTACCCGGTAACAAGTCCCCAGGACTGATTATGGAATATGATAGGCAAAGATGGGATTTTTAATGGATTTTTGATAGGATGGAACGTTAAATGAAGACCGGGTAAAGGTTGGATTATTAAATTACAATTTTCCTTTTTAATGTTACCTTTAGCAACTAAAATGGCTTTGTATCTCTCTATTCTCCCATCAGCTCGAAATTTGATCTTAAAAACGCATCTACAACCAATTGGTTCTTCCTTTCGGTAAAGGTACAAGATTCCAGTTTCATGTGCTTTAAATGCAAAAAATTCAGTTGCAATAGCTTCCTGCCATTCAGGAAAAGGAGTTGCTTGCTCATAAGACAATGGTTCTTGAATAGCTCACAAAACCATAGTGTCCAAAGTATTGAATCCCTAAGAGAAACATTAGAAGAGATAAAAATAGAATTGGAACCATCAACGGAGAAGTGAGAGTGTGAGAGCAGCCAAAATCATAAAGAACCTAATTGGATTTGGAATTTTTGAAACCGAAAATGTACTCATCATGATAGGAAGGTCAGGGCCGGTTCTGTGGGGAAGGCAACAGGGGCGACTGCCCTAGGCCCGAAAAATTATAGAAGAAAAAATAGGCCCAAAATATGTTCTTTATATATAGTGTGAGTAAGTTTCTTCTTTTATTCTTAAGTTCAATTAATTAGGCCTAATGTTTAATTTTATTGACAATTTGAAAATTTAAAACATACATAATTTTTTTTAAACAAAGCCAAGTTTAAAACAGAATATATATACACTAATTATAAGTAAAACCGGTTTTAGTTTTTAAAAGCAATACAACCGTTGCTGAATCAATAAAAGAAATGTC